AGATTGAGATGCTGTGATACGCCGGAGAAGAGGCTCGGAGCTCTGCCAGTGAGCCAGTAGAATCGGGCGCCCACTGCACTCCAGCCTGGGCGACAGAGCCGCTAGTACGAGTTCGGAGAAAGGAAATACCCCGTTCCATCAAAAAAAAAAAAAAAAAAACAGAGAATAGCTTGTAGATAAGATGAGAAACAGATTATATAGATACTTGACTATAACTAAATATTATTCTTAGTATCAGTTTGTAAGCATTACTCTTTATTCTACATTTATAATAATCTCTGTTCTGGCCGTGCGTGGTGGCTCCACGACTGTAATCCCAGCCTTGGGAGGCCGGCGGGCGGATCACAAGGTCAGGAGATTCGAGACCATCCTGGCTACACGTGACATTCTTCACTACAAATACAAAACCAAAAGATTAGCCGGCGTCGTAGTGGCAGGCGCCTGTAGTCCCAGCTACTCAGGAGGCTGAGGCAGGAGAATGGTGTGAACCCAGGAAGCAGAGCTTGCAGTGAGCCGATACCGCACCACTGCGCTCCAGCCTGGGCCACAGTGCAAGACTCCGTCTCAAAAAAAAAAAAAAAATCATCATCATCATCTCTGTCCCACAATTATAACCTAGGAAAAACCAGGCCATACAGAGATAGGAGCTGAAGGGACATGGTGAGAAGTGACCAGAAGACTAGTGTGAGCCCCTGTCATGCCCGGACATGGCCACTAGAGGGCTCCTTGGTCTAGCGGTAATGCCAGGGCCTGGGCAGGCACCCGTTACTTAGCAGACGGGAAAGGGAGTCTCCCTTTCCCCGGGAAGTTAGAGAAGACTCTGCCCCACCACCTCTTGTGGAAGACCTGACATCCCTCAGGCCCGCCCGCAGCCTCTGGAGGCCTCAACGTCTCCCTGTGATGCTGTGCTTCAGCGGTCATGCTCCTGGTCCACTTTCATGTTCCGCCCTGTACACCTGGCTCTGCCTTCTAGATAGTAGTAGTATAATTAGTGAATGTACTAAGAGTCATTAAATTGCACAGAAGAAATAATAGTGTAAGCTGTCCTCTCTCTCTCTCTCCGCCTCGGCTGCCAAACAGGGAAGGGCCCCCTGTACGGTGGACACGTGACTCACGTGACCTTATCAATCATTGGAGACGGCTCACACTCCTTACCCTGCCCCCTTGTCTTGTATCCAATAAATAACAGCGCAGCCAGGCATTCGGGGCCATTAACGGTCTCCACGTCTAGGTGGTAGTGGTCCCCCAGGCCCAGCTGTCTTTTCTTCTATCTCTTCTGTCTTGTGTCTTTATTTGTATGATCTCTCCTCTCCACACACGAGAAGAAAAACCCACAGACCCTGTAGGGCTGGTCCCTACACAACCTAAGGGTAGTGGTGCACAGACCCGGCCTCTGACACCTTGGGGACGCCAAAATGGAAAATTCATGCACTTGGGTCTTCCTGCATAAGTTAGTTTTGACCTTAGACCTACAAGCAAGGCAGTTAGTAGGAACTCGGACCATGTTGTGAGGAGCTAAACACACACACCTCCCACTGCGGGAGAAGGGACCTGCACAGAACTGCATGGAGGCCACGCTGGCAGCACACGACACGCCCTGCAGTGGCAGCAGCCCAGGCCTTCCAGTGCCTTGTACTCACCTGTGCACAGGCTGGCTTTGGCCACGCTCTGTTCAGCCACCTGCAGAATCAAGGCCCCCGGCTCCTCTCCTTGCTCCAAGAGGGAGATCAGTGCTGGTTTGGCAACGAGAAAGCCTAAGTTCAGAGAAGGAAAGCAGAATGTATCAGTACAGGAAGGAGGAGGGATGCCCGGGTGCCTGGCTGGAGTGCTTGGAGTGGGTCAGGAACACTCACTATCCCAGGAGAGGCAGCTAGGTGGCCAAGGGGAGATGGGGGGCCTGCCCCAGGAGAGAAGCCTCAGGCAGGCTGATGCTGGCAGTGGCTGCCCAACAGAAAGCAGAGAGGGGCTCCTTGGGGAGCCTCCAGTTTCCCCTCAAAAATGTTTCAGACCTTGAATCTGGAATGGAACCAACTTCCCTTTGAAGCTAACACAGACGCACCTCCCGGCCCCAGGACCAAAGGCAGAAGCCCTTACCTAGCGAGGCCAGGTTCCCATAGTTCTCCAGCATCACGTCCCTGTAGAGGGCCTGCTGGTCGGGGGCCAGGCAACTCCACTCTATCCTCGTGAAGTACACAGCCACATCCTCGAACACAACAGCCTCCTGCAACCACATACTCTGCTATCCAGGCAGTCAAGGGCTCGGTGAGAACCCAGCAGATGAGAAACATTTGCGCGATCTGCTAGAGGCCTCTCTCCCTGCTGCTCATTGCTGCATCCACAGGGCCCAGCAGAGTCAGGGCAGCCCAACACTCCCTGAGTGAGCAGCCTCAGTCTCAGCAGAAGCCCCAGAGAGGAAGAGGGAAAAACTGAACTTGGGGGAGGGAGATTTACCAGGAAGGGGTCCCAACCTTGGCCTCACCCTCTCCACAGACCATCAGGGATTTGGGAAAGGAGCACCAGCACTGCGTCCCCACCCTCTGCGTCTCCATTTCCAACACCGGCAGTGAGTCAGCATCAGTAGAGGGAGGACGGCTGACCACTCACACCAGGAAGGAGGCAGGCACTGGGGAAGGACAGGGACCCTGCCCTCAACGGCTGACCATAGAAGCTCAGGGGCCATAGGAGGCCCCAAGAAGCCCACTTCTGCCCAAAGGCTGGAAGGATTTGGCAGAGAAACGTGTGCGGCCTGGCCACAGAGCAAGGAGGTGGTCCTCGGCTTGCAGACTCCATCTTGTGATGTGGGTGGGTGTGAGGCTCCCTGGAAGGTTCTCAGGGCTGAAAAGCTGAGGCTAGGGGCGAAGCAGTCTCCCGGGGCAGTGGACAGGCTCAGGGGGTGCTCACCTGGGGTCCAGGCATCGGAAGTGCCATCGTCATTCCAGGGTACCCTCTGAGGAGGAGCAGGTGCTAGAGACAGTGAATTCTGGGGGAACACAGAGCCATGAGTGGAAGAAGCCCAGGCCTAAGGCTCTCCAGCCCCGCAAAAGGCCCCTCCAGATCCAGAAGGGAGCAGGAGAGGGCAAAGTGCTGGGGAAATCACAACAGCCACCTCCTTCACGCCCCAAGGAGCAGCTGCACCCAAGCTTCTCCATTGGAACACCCACTCCTTCCAATATTTGCTGGCTGTCACCTTGCTGGGAGGCCTTCTGTGACTGCCACCTCCCCTCCCGCCTGGGAGTTCCTTATCCTCGCTCCTTGCTTTCTTTTTCTTTTTCTTTTTCTTTTTTTTTTTGAGATGGAGTCTTGCTCTGTCACCCAGGCTGGAGTGCAGTGGCACAATCTCAGCTCACTGCAAGCTCCGCCTCCCGGGTTCACGCCATTCTCCTGCCTCAGCCTCCGGAGTAGCTGGGACTACAGGCACCCACCACCTCGCCCGGCTAGTTTTTTGTATTTTTTAGTAGAGACGGGGTTTCACAGTGTTAGCCAGGATGGTCTCGATCTCCTGACCTCGTGATCCGCCCGTCTCGGCCTCCCAAAGTGCTGGGATTACAGGCTTGAGCCACCGCGCCCGGCCTCCTTGCTTTATTTTTCTCCATAGCACTATGCCACCTGACATAAGAAAAGTTAACGTCCTTGCTCCTTATCTGCCTTCCCCAATTAGATAAGACCTCTGGTCTATACCCCAAGGGCCTGAGGAAGGGCTTGGCACACAGTGTATGCTCAGAAGGGATTTATGAAATGAACAAAGCATGACTAGTTAGAGCAAAATTATTGTTTTATTTGAGACAGGGTCTCGCTCTGTCTCCCAGGCTGGAGTATGGTGGCATGATCTCGGTTCACCTCAACCTCTGCCTCCTGGGCTTAAGGGATCCTCCCAGGATGGCCAAGGTTGCACCATTGCACTCCGGCCTGGGCAACATCGTTCATTATGAGATGAACAATGGGTGACTCTACAACCAATAAAACCATGTGTGGGAACATCAGAAAACATTCTTGCATTTTACTACATGAAACAAGCAGACTGTAAGCAAAAAACTAAAGCTGGTAGCATAAAACCCTAGTTCTCTCTGGGTCATAGAATGACAAGTGGTTCCTGTTTTTCTATTTTTCTTTTCTTTTTTTGAGACAGGGTCTTGCTGTGTGGCACGGGCTGGAGTAGAGTGGTATGATCTCAGCTCACTGCAGCCTCAACTTCCTGGGCTCAAGCAATCCTCCCACCTCAGCCTCCTGAGTAGCTGGAACTACAAGAGCATGCCACCACACCCAGCTAATTAAAAAAAAAGTTTTTTTTTGAGACGGAGTCTCGCTTTGTTGCCCAGGCTGGAGTGCAGTAGCGCGATCTCAGCTCACTGCAAGCTCTGCCTCCCAGGTTCACGCCATTCTCCTGCCTCAGCCTCCAAGTAGCTGGGACTACAGGCACCCACCACCTCGCCCGGCTAATTTTTTGTATTTTTAGTAGAGACAGGGTTTCACCGTGTTAGCCAGGATGGTCTCGATCTCCTGACCTCGTGATCCGCCCGCCTCGGCCTCCCAAAGTGCTGAGATTACAGGCATGAGCCACCGCGTTCAGCCAAAAAAAATTTTTATTATTGATGAGGTCTCACTATGTTGCCCAGGCTGGTCTTGAACTCCTGGACCCAAGTGATCCTCTTGCCTCGGTCTCCCAAAGCGCTGGGATTACAGGTGTGAGCCACCACACCCGGCCTCTATTTTTCCAATTTAAGACTTTTTTGGCCAGACACGGTGGAGATCGAGACCATCCTGGCTAACACGGTGAAACCTCGTCTCCACTAAAAATACAAAAAATTAGCCAGGAGTGGTGGTGGGCGCCTGTAGTCCCAGCTACTTGGGAGGCTGAGGCAGGAGAATGACGTGAACCTGGGAGGCGGAGATTGCAGTGAGCCAAGATCACGCCACTGCACTCCGGCCTGGGTGACGTCTCCTCTTGTTGCTCAGGCCGGAGTGCAATGCTGCAACCTTGGTAATCCTGGGAGGATCCCTTAAGCCCAGGAGACAGAGGCTGCAGTGAACTGAGATCATGCCACCAATTCCAGGCTGGGCGACGGAGCAAGACCCTGTCTCAAACAAAACAAAAGAATAATTTTGCTCTAAGCAGACGTATACAGAGCAGGCATGAGGCCCTGGTCTCCTCACTCTTCCCTTCAACACACACTTGAGCTCTTGCGTTAGGGTGAAGGTTTGCAGGGCTATCCTTTTCTGTAGAGCTGGAGCTCTAAGTAGCTGCCACTTTGTAAAGAGATGTTTCCCACTAGGCATCAGTTAACAAAAAGCATGTGTTTAGAGGCCGGGGGCGGAGGCTCATGCCTTTAATTCCAACACTGTAGGAGGCCGATGAGGGCAGATCATTTGAAGTCAGGAGCTCGAGACCAGCCTGACCAACATGGTGAAACCCTTATCTACTAAAAATACAAAAATTAGCCGGGTGTGCTGGCACACGCCTGTAATCCCAGCTGCTTGGGAGGTTGAGGCACAAGAACTGCTTGAACCCAGAAGACAGAGGTTGCAGTGAGCCAAGTTTGCCCCACTGCACTCCAGCCTGGGTGACAGAGTGAGGCTCTCTCCCAAAATAAATAAAAATAAATAAAGCGCGCGTTTAGAAGCAGGACAGCCACTTGATCACAATGCTGTGAAATGACAATTGGCAGCAGAGCCCTTTTGACATGTTAGGGTACGAAGGGTGATGGGAGTAGATCAGACAGATTCGTGAATCACCCCTGCACAGAGTGCGCAGACCGATCGCAGACTGACTGCGGAAGAGCAGGACCACACCACCCCCACCCAGCCCCACTCACTGTCCAGGGCAGTCTGTGGCAGGACCCACCTGGGCCACTGCGATGGTCACACGTGTTGTCCTCACCCCAACAAGGCCACCAGAGTATCTCAGGGTATGAGGCTGTCAGAAGACTCGACCCCCTGATCCCTCAACACATACCACGCTCCACTCTGGTAAGAACTGCAACCCCGGGCTACAGTTGGACTTGGACTAGGAGGGTAAGTTACCACTGCTGCTTCTTGTTTGCTCATGTCTAGGGAGTGTATGTCCTCAGGGAGGGGCTACCTGGTTAGAGAGGAAAAAAACCTGCTTTTAGCTCTATCTTTGGAATTAGGAAGTAAACCTTCAGTCAGATTAAACAGCACTGGGCTAAAAATAATCGAGCAGTGATATGATGACAACAGATCAAACTGTTGCTGTGAGCGCTGAGAGAGAAAATGTCAAGGGGAGGAGGGTGCTAATTTAGAAGGAGGACCACCCAGAAATGTTACTGGGGGAAGTAACATTTAACTGGGGTCTGGAAGACTAGGAGGGGTCACCTCCCTCCTTACATAGAATAAGCCCTGTTCCTCGGGGACCTGGGGCACCCTGCTCACTACGCGGCAGCCATGCCAGCCTTCTCTCTGTTCCCCCGCCTGGGAGTTTCTCCTCAGGGATCTGTGGCTGCTTCTCTCGGCCAGCAGGTTTCAGTTCAAATGTTAACTCTCATTGTCGTTGTTTTGAGACGGAGTATCCCTCTGTCGCCCAGGCTGGAGTGCAGCGGTGCGATCTTGGCTCAGTACAAGCTCCGCCTCCTGGGTTCACCCCATTCTCCTGCCTCAGCCTCAGCCTCTGCGCAGGGTGAATGAAAGCTGCGGGAAACGGCGTCCGCCTGGGAGCCAGGCTGCGGGGAAGTGCCCGCCATCGGGCGGATGCGAGGGGCAGAGCCTGGTTCTCCCCGGAGCAGCCCCACCTCGCCAGGCCTCCCCGCCTGCAGCCTCATCTCTGCGCAGCCGTCCGGCTCGGGGGAGCGGGTCTCTGGGGTCCGGCCGCACGCCCCCGACCACAGCCAGCATGGACCCGGGCGCAGGGCCCTTCGCCCCGAGGAGGGTTACGGACCCAAGGCGAGCGGAGGCGGCAGTGCCGGCTGCGGGTCCGCTCCCTCTCGAGCTCCGGGCGCCCACTCCGGGGGCTGCAGCCTCCACTGGGTCGGGCTTGCAGGAACGCGCCCCTCCCAGTCCCCGCCCCGCGGCCGGGGCCGACTCACCCTGGGCCGCCGGGACCGCGCGGGGAGGAGCGCAGGGCGCCGGGCGCTCAGGCTCCGGTTCCTGCCCCGCCCCCGGAAGCGGCCGCTGCGCCGCTCTGGGAGGCCTGGAGGACCGCGCACCTCGATGGCGCTCGCCAGGGCTGCAGCGAGGGGCGCGCCTCGGGGGTTCCGGGCGAGACCGGGTATCAGTCCCAGGCCCCAGGGGCGCGGAAGAGCGTCAACGATCTCGGCGCTCCGTTTCCCCCAGGATAGGAGGCGGCGAACGTTCATCCCTTGCGCCCACTCCTTGCCTCCGGGTGGCCTGCGGGGGTTGGGGAGCACGGCGCGGGATCGATTCCTGGACCCGCAGGAACGGCGGAGCTGGGACATCGGGCCGGGGTCTGTCTCTTATATAAATTTATGACATTGTTTAGTATGACTCTTTTTTTTTTTTTTTTTTTGAGTCTGAGTCTCGCTCTTGTTGCCCAGGCTGGAGTGCAATGGCGTGATCTCGGCTCACTGCAACCTCCCCCTCCCAGGTTCACGCCATTCTGCCTCAGCCTCCCGAGTAGCTGGGACTACAGGCGCCCTCCAACCACGCCCGACTAATTTTTGTAGTTTTAGTAGAGACGGGGTTTCACTATGTTGCCCAGGCTGATCTCGAACTCCTGATCTCAGGTGACCCGACGCCTCGACCTCCCAAAGTGCTGGGATTACAGGTGTGAGCCACCGCACCCAAACAGTTTCTGGAATCTTGAAGTGTCTCTGCTGCTCCCTCTGATCACTCTCAGACCACCTCTCCTGTCTGCACATAAGGGTGGTCATTCTGACTTCTAACAGCCCTGTGATTTTTGTAAACATTTGTATGCTCTTTGTATTTACTAATTTAATCCTCACGGTAATCATATCAAAATACTACTGTTCCCATACTAAAATGAGGAGAGCATAGTGTCCCTGTTATCTGCCAAGGTCTCGTCTCTTTTTTTTTGAGACAGTTTCGCTGTTGTTGCCCAGGCTGGAGTGCAATAGCGCCATCTTGGCTCACCATTACCTCCCCCTCCTGGGTTCTCCTGCCTCAGCATCCCCAGTAGCTGGGATCACAGGCATGTGCCACCACGCCCGTTTAATTTTGTATTTTTAGTAAGGACGGGGTTACTCGATGTTGGTCAGGCTGGTCTCGAACTCCCGACCTCAGATGATCTGCCCGCTTCGACCTCCCAAAGTGCTGGGATTACAGGTGTGAGCCACTGTGCCTGGCCAAGGTTTCATCTCTTAAGTAACAGAACTGGGATCCAACCCACAGACCTGGCTCCAAGTCACATATTCTTTTTTTAAAAAATTTAATAATTTTCTTCAAGTCACATATTCTTTAGCCACTAAACTGTGGTGTGAAACCATCATGCAAGTGGGAAGAACAGTTCAATTCATGAAACTTGGTGTGCTGAAAAATTGCCATTCACCTCCACACACATTTTAGGGATGGTTTCACACACGCTCTAGGTTTTCAGATCCCCTGAATGGCAACCGTACCCTGGGAGGAGGTATGAGGATCAAAGAAGGTAAGGGACTTGTCCAGAGCCACAGGTGGTTGGGAGCCGGGTCAGATTTGAGCACAAGACAGACCAGGAACCATCATTTTCTTCCTTTTCACAAGGATAGGGGAAACTGGGTCAGGAGGGTGACACTCGTCTAAGTAGGCTCAACCCAGCACTCTACATGGGTGGTCCTAAACTTGTGTGATGTCTACCTAGATCCTTGTCCCAGGACTGGATGCCCTTAGGTTCCTCAGACTCTTTGGGGGACCAAGGGTGTCTCCTGCATTCACACTGCTGACAGCAGATCTGCTCAGGAGTGAGGCACAGGCTGGGTAGGACAGAGGCACTCTTCAGATTCGGGGTCCAGCAGGAGGGACTAGTGGACACTTGCTCTGTCCCCACAACCATCTTTGGGGAAGGGATCATGACTCCCCTCAGGGCCATGGCACATACTTTCAGATAATATGGGTAGTATGGTGAACTTGGATATCCAAAAATTCTATGTAAATCCTGTGCTATTATTCTCTCATTGTAAAAGGATGCCAAAACTTCCAACTATTTAATCACACATGTGGGGTCCTAGAGAATGTTCACTCACAGCTTTATGTCAGGTTGACATGATGCATCCAAGCCATATAGACGGCAGGGGTCATGGAGATTTAGCACTCACTAACCCGTTGCTTCACAATACACTACCTTAACCCCTCTCGGAAAAATTTTAACATGCACCTTCAAGATGTCCCCAAGCATGTGCAATCTCCATCCTCCCAACCACCCCACCTCTTCCTGTTGGCATTGGTCCCTGGGGTCTCCCCTCACCCACTCCTGAATGGGTAACGGGCTCCTATGGGCAATCCCACCCCTGAGGCACTGAAAGCACATGGGAAAACTATCTCAGAGAACCTTATTGGAAATACGTTTTCACAAGACATAGCTCCAGAATTGTAAGACACTAAATTAGAAAAGCAGTGTGCATGAGGCCGGGTGTGGTGGCTTATGCCTGTAATCCCAGCACTTTGGGAGGCCAAGATGGGTGAATCATGAGATCAGGAGTTCAAGACCAGCCTGGCCAAGATGGTGAAACCCCATCTCTACTAAAAATACAAAAAATTAGCTGGACACGGTGGCAGGCGCCTGTAATCTCAGCTACTTGGGAGGCTGAGGCAGGAAAATCGCTTGAACTCAAAGAGGGCAGAGGTTGCAGTGAGCTGAGATAGCGCCACTGCACTTCAGCCTGAGTGACAGAGTGAGACGCCCTCTCAGAAAAAAAGCAGTGTGCATGAAAAGTACTTAGATCAGTCCCTGGCCCGTAAAAAGTACCCTGTATTGGCCAGGTGTGGTGGCTCACGCCTGTAATCCCAGCACTTTGGGAGACCAAGGCAGGTGCATCACCTAAGGTCAGGAGTTCAAGACCAGCCTGACCAATATGGTGAAACCCCATCTCTACTAAAAAAATACAAAAATCAGCTGGGCGTGGTGGTGTGCACCTATAGTCCCAGCTATTCGGGAGGCTGAGACAGAAGAATTGCTTGAACCTGGGAGGCGGAGGTTGCAGAGAGCCCAGATCACACCATTGCACTCCAGCCTGGGCAACAAGAGTGAGACGCCATCTCAAAAAAAAAAAAAAAAAAAAAAAAAAAAAAATATATATATATATATATGTATTCCTTTTATTACGGAGTGATCCCATTTTAGCCATATGTGATGGTGTGCCCATATGTGGGATACAATTATGCTACGGGGATGCGGTGGGGGGGCAGGGAGATAAGGACACATCTGTTGTGGGGGATTGGGGGTGCAGGCAGATAATACTGGTGGGGGAGGGGAGCCAAGCTGAGCAAGACAGAGAATCACAATTTCTCATGTTTATACCTAATTACTCCTGCATGTATGTGACAAGAAACATTTGAAGAACAATTTCAAAAGGAAAATGTTTTTTTTTTTTTTGAGGCGGAGTTTTGCTCTTGTTTCCCAAGCTGGAGTGCAATGGCACAATCTCGGCTCACCACAACCTCTACCTCCTGGGTTGAAGTGATTCTCCTGCCTCAGTCTCCCGAGTAGCTGGGATTACAGGTGCCTCCCACCATGCCCAGCTAACTTTTGTATTTTTAGTATAGACGGGGAAATAAATAATTTCTAAGAAAAAAGTTTGAAAAGCAGGTTAGGGGTGACGTCGGTAGCACAAGCAGAGGTGCTGTGTGGGGAGAGCCTAATCCTGGCCCCAAGAAAGATGGCTCCACCCCAGAAGGCTGGAAAACCTCATGTCCAGTGCTTGCGGCCTCACCTGGAGTGGCTGTCAAGTGACCTAGAACTGCACAGCCACTGCTGTGTGCCAGGTCAAGACTGAGCCTAGTCATGTAGTCCTCAGGACTGTCGGGTGGATGCTGGCAGGGCCATGTCTCTTTGAGCATTAAAGCGGCCTGGTCAGCCTCCTGGCTGCACCTAGGATCTTGGTAGCCGCATCTCATCCCAGAGACCCGTGAGACCATCTTGGGGAACCCCACAGCCTGTGTGTCCAAGCACTCTTCTCACCTCTATCCCGCACCCAACTCTCCTTCTGCTCCTGCAGCGAAGCAGATTTGCTCAGGAGTGAGGGACACGCTGGGCCTGTGGGCCAATTTTGGGTTGATCCCAGAACCCCTCACCCTGCCCCTGGGGTCCAGTCCTGCCCCTCAGCCCCTGGCCCTGCTGTGGGCTGGGCTGCTTCCTGGGTCACCACCCGGCAGCTCCTCCTCGATCCCCCTGCCAACCCTAGGGGAGGGCCTCCTTCAGCAGCCCCTTCTCTCCCCTATGAGCAGCAGCGGCCACAGGACACCCCTTCCACCCTCTCCTGTCTCTTTCTCACGATGTCAACCCTGCCAGAGCCCCTGCAGGGTCTAGGAAATACCCCACCTCCCAGTCCTGACTGCAAGCCTCTCCCACCCACTGGGACCCCTGCCTTCACCTCCTTGCTGCCTCCTCATCCACGGCCTCGCCTGTGCTCGACAGTGCTCACTCAGCCAGGGGCTCTCTCCTGAAAAACCTCTTCCCCACCACCCGCCGCCCCCGGCCTCGGGGTCCCACCCCTTAAGGACCCGATTTCGCGAAGCCCCTCTCCCCAGCATGTGCCGCTGGACACCCCCAGTCGGGCTGACTCTTTCCAGCTCAGGCCCCCACTGCCCCTCCCAGTTTCCATTTCTTGCTCCTTCCCCACCCACCTCTCCCGCACAGAATTTGGTCAGGGTACGGTCCAGTGTCCTATTATTCGTTCTCCCCGCAGCATGTGACCCAGCCCATCCCCGTTCCTTCTTCCTCGCCCCGGGACCCTCCAGCTTGGCCCTCCCCACTTCCTGGGCCGGCCGGCCCTCACCCTCGGCAAGGATCCCCGGGCTCCTCTCCTCGACGCCCGACCTCTCCAAGGACCTACAGTGGACAAGGTCCCCGCGTCCAGCAGCGCCCGTCCATCAGGGAGACGGTCATCTGCCACCTGCAAACCACGACGTTCCACGAGGGGGTACACGCGTCTCCCCTGCCCATCTCCTGCTCTGCATCAACGAGAACCCCTCCGCCTACACGGAAGCCCCTCACCAGGCAAAGCCGGGAGCCCCAGACCCCGTGGCCCGGAGTGGGTCGATCTGTAACGCCCTGCACAGTTCACTCAACCACTCGGCGCCTCCTCGGCCACTCAGAGAACACTTGCCCTCCCGGAGACCCCGGTGAAAGCCGAGCACTCTCTCGCTCCTTCAGAGCCCGCGCCAGCAGGACCTTGCGCGCCGCGTCTCCCGGTGCGCCTGCGCGGGGGCCCCAGCGGCGGAAAAGTAGGCAGGGCCGGCGGCCACTGGTGACTACAAGCCCCGGCGTGCACCGCGCTGGACTGGCCGTGGCGCGCCCGGAAGGTGTCGCGGCCCTGGGCCCCGCCCCGGAAGATAAGGCGGCTCGCGGACACCGCGTTTCCTCTTTCGGCCGCGCTAGTGAGCTGGTAGGTCGTGCATGCGGCGCTGCGGCATAGGCAGTATCCGCCGCCATCCTCCTCCTTGAGGCGGGCTGAGACGCGGGCCGGCCCTCCTGAGAGGATGGCGGTGCGGACGCCCGCCGAGAGGGTAGGGGGTGGTGGGCGCGGCGGCCTTGGAGGCGGGGTCCCGGAAAGCCGGGCTGGCGGGGGTGCCCGGGCCGCCCGGACGCGCTAACCGTGAGTCGCCCCCAGGACCCGTCGCCATGGGCCGTGTGATCCGTGGACAGAGGAAGGGCGCCGGGTCTGTGTTTCGCGCGCACGTGAAGCACCGTAAGGGCGCTGCGCGCCTGCGCGCCGTGGATTTCGCCGAGCGGCACGGCTACATCAAGGGCATCGTGAAGGTGCGGAACGCTGGCCAGGGCGGGGCGGGAGGGGACGGGACTCCCGGCCGGAACGCCGCACTTACGCCGCCCCTGCCCGCAGGACATCATCCACGACCCGGGCCGCGGCGCGCCGCTCGCCAAGGTGGTCTTCCGGGATCCGTACCGGTTTAAGAAGCGGACGGAGCTGTTCATTGCCGCCGAGGGCATTCACACGGGACAGTTTGTGTATTGCGGCAAGAAGGGTTAGCATCGCGGCGGGGAAGGAAGGTCGGGGTGGGGAGAGGTCTGGGTGTTGTCTGAGGAGTTAACGTCTTAAACCGGTGTGGGAACCTCGCAGGCAGAAAGTTGGGGTGGGCCACCGCGTGGCCAGGCCAGTGGCTACGGTGGGCACCGGTGGGTACTCAGAGAGCTGCACCGGGAGGCTGGATGTTGAATGCTGTGCTCGCAACTTCACGGGCTGCTTAGAGCGAGTGGGGTCGCATTGCCTCTTACCGCGCTGACGGCCTGATGCTGCTTCTCCTTGCAGCCCAGCTCAACATTGGCAATGTGCTCCCTGTGGGCACCATGCCTGAGGGTACGATCGTGTGCTGCCTGGAGGAGAAGCCTGGAGACCGTGGCAAGCTGGCCCGGGCATCAGGGAACTATGCCACCGTTATCTCCCACAACCCTGAGACCAAGAAGACCCGTGTGAAGCTGCCCTCCGGCTCCAAGAAGGTTATCTCCTCAGCTAACAGAGCTGTGGTTGGTGAGTACCAGGCAGTAGTTGAATGCTGAGGGCTGTTGGGTGAACAGGCTGTGAGCGCCGGCGGACAGCCAGTGGCTAGACTTGGTTCCTGGAATTACCTGTTGTTTCAAAATTTGGGTTTTGTAAGTTTGAGGTTATTGTGTAGTCTCAGTTTTCGTCACTGTAAAATGAACACAATAGTACTTGCCTTACTGCTATTGTGGCGTTAAATGAGATTGGGATTAAGTCACTTGGGACTTGAATTCTAGTCTGGGCTTCCTGATTGCTGTACTTGCATACAGTTGGTTAACAGCCTTTTCAGATAAGGCAGGGAGAGATTTGTGACTTTCTCAAAATCACCTACTGAGTGAGTGAAGGAGGATTTGAGTCAGTTAACTCGCTGTGCTGTTGGGAACATCTTGGAATCCTTGTTACAAACTCAGCCTCGCACAGAGCCTCGCACAGGGGAGGCCCTGAGGTTGTATTCCTGGAATAAGCAACGCTGAGATGGGGCAGGCTGAATCAAGTGTCCTGTGTCAGGTTGAGTGACATGTCGGATGTCTCAAACATGGTGAGGGGATTGCTTCCCTGCGCTTGGAGCTCAGCCAGCATTCTGGGTGATGGAGGTGAGGGCCTTGGCTTGACTGCCCAGTGTGGATTGAAGAAACTGGATGTCGGCTCACAGGGTGCAAGGGGCTCTCTAGGGTGGAGGCGAGTGGGCTTTTTGCTGGGTAGTTGGATGTAGTATTGTGAAGGTGCATGACAGGAGATTGAGGGGAGGAGGTGGGGGTGCTCTGACCGACTAGAGGTTTCCTGAGGTACCTGATCTCCCTTACAGGTGTGGTGGCTGGAGGTGGCCGAATTGACAAACCCATCTTGAAGGCTGGCCGGGCCTACCACAAATATAAGGCAAAGAGGAACTGCTGGCCACGAGTACGGGGTGTGGCCATGAATGTAAGTAACGCAGAAATGCAGGATTGGGTATTCAAGGTACCATGGCCACACGAGTAGGCAAGTCCCATCCACAGGTGGCCCTGCAGGAGGGACATCTGCAGTGGGAGGAGCAGTGGGTGGTGGTTTGTAGTCACAGGACTGTTGATCTTGCTCCAACCCTCCTGAAGGAGGTGGGCTCACCCGCATTCTAAAGCCATCTTCCTCTGCCTACAGCCTGTGGAGCATCCTTTCGGAGGTGGCAACCACCAGCACATCGGCAAGCCGTCTACCATCCGCAGAGATGCCCCTGCTGGCCGCAAAGTGGGTCTCATTGCTGCCCGCCGGACTGGACGTCTCCGGGGAACCAAGACTGTGCAGGAGAAAGAGAACTAGTGCTGAGAGCCTCAATAAAGTTTGTCTTTATGCCACCAGGCTGTGCCCACCCCCATAGTTTCAAAGGAAGAGGTCCCTGCTGGGAGGATTTCTGTGGGATCCCCCTGGTTGGTACTGGGAGGAAGGTAGACTACTGGAGTAGACCACCAATGAGTGGTGGAAGCTTGAAGGAAAAGTCTACAACTGGAAGTGAGGTGCAGGTACCCTGGGCAAGACCCTTGCTTCCCCACAGAGGGGACCAAGACACTTAGGTGGGTGACTCAGTACCATGGCTTGCAGTGCTTGGATGTAAGCACTCATTTCACGGATGACGAAACTGAGGAACAGGAAACAGGACACAATCATGAGCCTGGTGTTCTGGACCATACCCTCACTCTGCCGGCTCACTGCTAACTTGCTCAGCACCTGAGGTGTTCCTTTGCCCACGGTCTTTTGGCTACATCCTTCCCCTCCATACTGGGTACAGTCCTGATGATGTCAGTGTGTTTGGTAAAGTCACTGCCAGGGATACCGGGCTTGCAGGTGTCTGTCTTGCACTGAGAACTTGGGATGGGCCTGGAGGAACGTGGGACAGACACCCTGTCTACAGCCAGGAAGTTATTCCTAGCCTGGCCTTTACCATTCTGTTCTGCAGATGACTGGGAGCACCCTGTATGCATTCCCCACCCTACCATGGTGGAGAGTAGTCACTGACTGGAGGGTTCTGGGTGCTTTTTCCTGTGAGTGGAGCCTCATGCCTTACCTCATTTTCTAGCCTGATAGTGACAGGTGAGGTTGAGGTGGTGATTGAGTGTGGGGTCCTAGGTCACTGCTGGTATTGCTGAACAAAGGGATGAATGTATGCAGTGCGTGTATGGGGATCCCAGAGCACTCAAGAGTCCCTTCACCCATCCACCCAGAGCCCATACACTGAGAAACTAACCAGGAACAGCCCCCAAAGCTGCATTGATTACCTTATTCTGAGCACATGGCCTTTCCCTACTGGCAGGGGCAGATACCTTCCTTCTCTTTAGCTTTGGTAGTGACAAGTGAGGCTGGGGGTGGTGATTGTGAGTGGAATCAGGTTGGAAGTGTCAGGGAACTGCCCCTCTGCAATGGGAGGGCAAGTTAAGCTAGTTGCCGTCACAAGGCAGGTGGAGGGGCTTCCTGTTTGGCCATAGCCCATGGCATCTTGTCCCTTAACCACAATGAGGAGATCCCAGGACAGCATCCTATCAGCGCTTTCACACAAGGAAGTTCCACCAGCAAATGGAGCAGCTGCAGATTATTGCCCCTAACAACACTCCTGTGGAACTGCAGCAGGCAGAATGAGGCACGGTGTGCTCTGCCTATAGACTTGGAGAGCGCCTGGCAGGTGAGAATAGGTCACGTTAGGCTTCCATGGTCACTGCGGGATGACAATTCCTAAGTGGCTGCACGGTGGCCCCTGACTGTCATGGTCCACGCTGTTTCTAGAGTGAACCTCACCCCCCATTCCATGATCTTGCTTTCCTCATCCTGCTGGCATGGCTCCACCTGTCTTTGGGCGCCCACCACACCTAGGCAGTGACCCAGCAGGGCCTGTTTATTTTAGACAGGCTCTCGCTATTGCCAGGCTGTTCTCAAGCCCCTGGCCTCATGTGGTCCTCCCACTCCAGCCCTGACCCCCACCCCCCGCCAGTAGCTAGGGGACCTGGTTTAGATACACTGTCATTCGCAAGGCGGGTCCCAGGGTCCTAGGTGATTGGTCGAGAAAGAATCCAGGAGGGCGGTGTTTCCTCCGGAAGGATGGAGGGGCATCTAGAAAGAGGGTCTTGGGAAAGCACTAGATGCTTAGCTTCGCCATAATTGGTCACTGCTTTTCTGCTCCCTTCTGGGCAAAGTGGATGCAGGGCTTGGCCGAAGGACCGGCAGTCAGGGCAAGTTTGCTCCAGAAGCAGCTCAGGCACCCGAAAACCTTTTCTCCAGAGTGGACACTGGGCTCCATTTACAGGAGTCAGGGATGAGGGGCCATAGGTTAAACCCAAGACAGGCTTCTTTGGCCAGTAAGCATCCTCTCTTAGCCCCAAGGAAGGGTGCGGTTCTCGTTTTTTTCTTTGTAAAGGAAAGGACCTAGTTCTTTCTTGTTTGTGGCACCTTTCGTGGCTCATTAGGGAGAGAATTCATCAGAAAAAGGGAAAGACTAATATGTTTTCGACTCTGACCATCGCCCCAGTTCTGAGGCCTCCGGGCCGTGGCTTCGGACTGCCACCCGGTGGCAGCGTTCTGCTTTACGGCTTTGCCATTCGCGGGTCCCCGGAGCCTTACTGCGAGCCAGGGAGGTGGGCAGCCGAGACGCGGCGTCCCAGCTTCCCAGAGCGGCCCCGACGGCACCTCGGACCCGGACAGTTGGCTGACGTCATTTCCGGATCGGCTCCGATTGGCTGGGCGGGAGGGCCGAACGGGCGAG